GAGAAAAATACCAATGAAGTACCAGTAGAAGATCAAATTGCCAAAATGTTCATAAAATCGATGGAGTAGTAGTCGTTAAAACGAAATTCTGCATCGTAGCATGCAATAGAGGAAATCGTACCAAGTGAATCTAATTGGAATACAAACGTCGCTTGAATTCGTAAATGCAGCTCACTCACCTTACCGACGTATTGTGTAACGCAGTGCAGTGGATCCGGTATAAAGAAAAGACGAAGAAGAAGAAGACGAAGAAGAAGAAGACGAATACGAAGAAGAAGAAGAAGAAGAAGAAGAAGAAGAAGAAGAAGAAGAAAAGTAAAAGAAAAGTAAAAGAAAAAAGAAAAAGTCAGACCGTTAGATTTATACGGCCGATCGCTTATATCTCCGCTGGTAAAAAAGGCAGTCGCTACGCGCATTTACAACTATTTTTTATCCTCGAGCGAGTTGCTCTCTGAAAACCAGATAAGCCCCGACAGATAGCTCGACAACTTGATATTCCACGCGTTGTTTCTTGTTGTATTCTTTTATGCGGGCTTCCCTCTGTCTTTCCCATTGTTATTACATATTTCTATCATTTCCTTATTGGCCCCCATTTGATGCTTTTTATCTCGTTCAACGAGTCTATTATCTGCCGCATCCTGAAACAATGGCAACTATAATGGCCAATCGTCCATTCTTTGGCTTTATAAATCCATCGCTTCGATAAGTCTCACGATCATTTCGTTATAACAATTTCACTCATAGCTGCATCTAGAAGATTATAGTACTTTGATCATTGTTACAGCGACGCTTATTGAATACATTTTAAAAGACACTTTTACTCATCGAAAGCCGTTATTTATAAATTTTCGCCCCGTTACATTAAGATAATTTGCCTTTCGATAGTTTACTCGCATAAAAATAAATAATAAAATTATAACGAAGCTTAATGAAGCCCACTTTATTTGTAAATAAATGTAAGTTAAAAAGTTACTTTGATATTAATGTAAACCTAACAGGTTTGTGAAATACTTAATGAAGGGCTTTTTTCATCATCGGACATTTAATAAAATATTGCCACTTGAAGTGAAAGGAACATTTTCGAGTTCCGTACAATATAAGTGCGATAAATTGTTTATTATGAGACAATTTTATCGTTAGATTTAAATTCACTACTATTCAAACGATTCAAACAACCCAAACGAACGTAATGGTTCATTTATATTTACAAATTATCATCGTTTAATTGTCATCGGGTATAATGATAAAGAAATTGGGATATTGCGAGTAAATAAATAAATAAATAAATAATTAAATAGTACGAGGCTGTGTGATATGTCGATTGGTAGTAACGAACAATTAACTCTGGTCCTACGATTCTCGAATGCCAATTGTTATTAACAGCAAATTTCCGACTTCTCGGCATGTTAATTCAAAACCATCTTATAGAAATATAATTCAAACGTATTGTCTTATCATTGATTCTGATTTTATTGACGTAAAGAAAGGCTGACGTATGAAAGCCCACGGGAGGTAATGGTCGTTCCAAATAAAAGGATCGTCAACAGTCTACATCTTCCTTTCCTATTTCTACCTGGCCCTTCGCATTCCCTCTTTCTCTCGCTCACACGCTCTCGTACTATATATATATATATATATATATATATATATATATATATATATCACTCTCTTGCGCTCTGTACACATTCGGCCCTCTCCCTGTGCGGCGTCGTTTTCTCCAAGGCGCCAAGTGCGCACAGCCTCTTCGCTCCTTGATCCTCTCACTCGCGATCCTCTCCCGTCCCTCCCTATCGCGCTCACCTCTTAAACACGTTTTAATACGGCCGATTAAGCTACAGAACGCTTAATGTCCTTGCGGGCAGGTCGCACTCGCAGCCCAGCCAGGAGAAAGAGCGATGTGCACTGCCGATAGAGCGCTCGTGAGCTCGCCAACAAGAAGGAGGTTTATTTTTATTTTCGCTCGCATCTTCATTTTTCCTCCGTCCGAGCGCTCGTTTATTTTTCGCTCGCGCGTCTGGATTCGCGGTGTTCTTGTTCGTCGATCCGTGCGATTAAGAATTCGCAAACGAATACGCGAGTCGTTTCGAACAGTCAAACATGACCTGTTAATTGGCGACGCTGGAGAAGTGGTCAAGCGTGCACCGACTGCCCGCGATGTGCAGTAATCGGTAAACAGTTGAGTACTCCGCCTCAATTCACATTATCCATAGCCAATTACGCTCAATGCGCTGACATTGTCGTCCTCCGTTTTCCTTTTTATTTATGAATCATTTATAATATGGTTGGTTCGTAAACTTTTCTTTCGAGGTCTAATCCCTTGAACGTGATCCAAGTCGTTGAACCGTAGTATGTAAATGCAGAAATGTCGATAATCGGAGCCTCGATTGTGCGATCGTTGTTTATTTGAATATAATAGAGGCTAAGGGGACATGGTAGGACGGCATTTATAAAATATCGCGTTAGCATCACCTAACAATGAATGATGAATACGAATATTTTCGAGCAAAATCGTTACACTCAATTTCCAAAACTGTAATGTAATAATCATCGTGCGAGGCAAGTTTTATTACAATATCAATACAATGATCTTATATTTTGTTTATAAATATTTATAATGTTTTATGTACTACATCCATTTACATGGGTGATGTAAATTCATAAATGATTTATTGTTAATGTACAATTTCGTGTATCATTTCCTTACTCTTCGTTCTATGCTCTTTACTTTTCTCATCCTCTCATCATTCGTTCCCTCAAACGATTATTATAAAATATTACTGTAATCTTTTAACTTTATTCATAACTATTACAAGACTATATATAACTAATTATAATTTATAGTACTTTTTAACCTGCATTTTGTTGCCTCGACCACCTATAACGTAATGTATTTGTGAACGTAATAGTCCAGTGATATATAGCATGTGTAAATTATGTAAAGAAAAAAAAAAAATATATATATATATAATTTATATGCCATTAGATAGTTATAATTATCGAAGCGGGTAACGTGTATATATTTATTGCTAGCTTGTACTAATGCAAAATAAATTCTATAAAAATCACAAATTGGAGTAAAAATTCGATATACTCGTGTAAACTATAAATTATGTATATACATTTTTTAATTATTCTCTACATTGATATTTATCGTATAAATATAATTAATAGTTGATCGGTTTATAATATATTTACTTATTCGAGAGGCTTTCTTGATTCTTCATGCTTTCGAAACTTGCGCCACTATCGTAACTCAAAATTAATTTATTAACAAAGTAGCTAGTCTATGGCGATACTCCTTACTATTTATTTATTTAATTTATATTTATAATGTACATGTGAAATATTAATATCAAATCTATTAGATCGATGAAATGTTATAAATTCATTTGCAATTTTAAGATGCTACTCTATTCTACGATTGTACCGAATATCAAATTTTTTAATATATTTTTAAATATTCAATTTACAATAAAATCCAAATGCAATTATATATATATATATATATATATATATATATATATAGTATTATACTCGAAAAGAAATTTCATGTATACCTTTTATCTACATTAAGAAATAAATTTTCTTAATAACGTATTTTTCTTTTATAACTTAATTACTCGTTTGCTTATTAAATGTTATCAAAATTCATTTTCAATAATTTACATATATTTTACATTCGAATTATTAATTACAATTATTTCTTTATTTTTAGAAACAGAAGTATGTATTAGATGTTTAATAGTGTTTATCAATGGTGTGAGTGAATATATATTTGTCTCCAGAGAATTTTCGTGTTAAATTAAAATTGAAATTAGATATTTTTATTGATTTATTCGTATATGTAATATTTATTATTTTTATAACATACGTATAAATTCCATATAATAGGCAATCGAATTACAACTATATATTATTAAATGTAAATAAAGTTAAAAATTAATAAATACATAAGGAAAGCTAAAAATAATTAAGTATTTTCTTGATTAGAGAGGAATTATAAAAATTTCGTTGAAAGTAGGAAATACGGTTTCGAATATATAGAATGTCGGTTAAGCTCTTTGTAGAAAGTAAACAGACTTATTTTACCACTAAAAAGTAATAAAAGCCCTTTCCTAATTACTTTAATACTTTTAAATAAATGGTTTTTACAAGATTAATTTTATATCCTTCTCTCTTTTGTTTTTATTATGTTTCACCCATACACACTCTCTCTTTCTCTCATTCTCACTCTTTTCTTTCGCCTTCCTTTCACCAGGTATTGCTTTCTTTCTTGCTGCTATTTCGCGACTCTTGCATTCCTCCATCTTATTCGATGTCTTTCTTTCTTTATCCTATAAACCAGCACTTTCTCTCTCTCTCTCTCTCTCTCTCTCTCTCTCTCTCTCTCTCTCTTGCTCGTCTGTATAAGACATCCTAAGCCGTATATACGTTACATTCCACACACGGCTGATTTACGACTGGTTTCCTCCTTACTACTGTATTTTCTTGCGAGGACGCTGTTATATGCATTTTCTATAAATGGTATGCGATATCGTAACTCGTAAATTGCCATATTATCGACATCCACGATATAACCAATCTTCTATGTTCAACGATATTGAATAATATATTGAATTAATTTTTATTTAAATTTACTTGGAGTATTTAATTTATCCAGTGCAATTTTCAATGATATCTTACAATTATGTATTTACGCAATATTTATGATAATTTTTATCCAAAACAAAAATATGATTTATTTTAAGAAATAATTTACAATTTAGGAAATAGATATAGAAATAAATATAGAAAGAATAATAAATATGATCGATTATGAATAAAAATCATGTTGCATGGCATACTATATATATATATATATATATATATTATCTATTCCGTTCGAATGTGAATATTTTATCGATTAAATGCTTAATATAATAAGCAAATTATTATAGGCAATTAATTTTGTCTAAATATTATCTTTATTATAACTAATGTGTGTTATTTTATGTTTTCAGGCATCACGGATAGACCTTTCATCGGTAGATAGGTGACGCGTGAAACGCAACCCTCAACACTACAGCCAAACGCTTATATACGGAGAGAATTTCGAAAACACTTTAATCGAAAATGTCGTGCTTCGCAAAATGCCAAAGGCAAGGCCTCACTTCATGGCGGCTTTGCCTTATGATTTTCACAATTATCTCGTCGACCGGTTACTGTAAATCTACTGCTGATAGTTTCGGCACTAGTGCCTTCTCATTGTCATCCTCCTCGTCGTCTCCACGAAAAACTTTAGACCAAGAAATCGGATCTCCCTCTGAATTGGCATGGCAGGCTTGGCTTCTCGTGGAAAATAAAAGTGGCGGACAGTCGGCTCTCGAATCGGCCAACATATTACGTAAAATTACGCCTAAAAGTATCTTCATAGCTCCAGAGCTCATTTCTTGTCCGAATGGTTATACATCGGACGGCAAAGGTACTTGCAAACCCGTGCCAATAAAAATCGACGAAGACGCTCAGAGGCAGTTTTTCTTGAAACGTCTTAACGCTCTTTATGGTAAATTTGGGAATAATCGTAAGAAACCAGCCGAAGTAACTGGCCCATTACAAATTAACATACCAATCTTATTGCCAACGAAAAGTAATTCACCCAATGCACAACCGGTACAGCCGTTGCCACACCAAAAACCACAGCAACTAGTGCCGAACGTTAATCGAGAAGTTGTAGAAAATCGTCCCCCAATTTCAGTGGATTTATTACAGCAATCGAACGATCAAAAGCAAAACAATGGCCAAGAGTCTGAAGTTACAGTGGCTTACAAAGTCGACAACGATACGAAAAAAGAACAGAAGGAATCTACGAGAGAAGAAGGCACGAACTTTTTTCTGGATAGTCCAATTTATTCGGGGCCCAAGAAGGATATTCCGAACAATGATGAGGTGGTTCCGGTTGCTGAATTCATCGACGAAGCTAACGATACATTTTCAACAGATGTCGTAGATTATAAAATACCACTAGGCTTAGCGCCTACATTAAATAGATCAGATGTTTTTGATAATATGAGAAGCACCTCTAATAGGCATGAATTTCATAAGATTACGAATGGAACAAATTCACAGGATGATTCGTCACCTACCGTAGTACTGCTATTATCACCGACCCTCTCGCCTTTTCATACGTCAACTCAATCAGAATTGTCGAAAACATCGAGTTTTGAAGAGGCGCCAGTCGATAGGGAATCCGAACATATCGAAAATACAAGTCCGTCCTCAATGGAAGAGGAGACAAAATCCGAATCTGATACAACGATTCACACAGTTGCTCCTTTAATTACACAAACAGCCGTGGACTCAATTGATAGTACAATGAAAAATACCGAAAAGACTTATGAGCAAGATACACCAGCGGATGAAAATGTGTATATCGATGAAGAATCTCATACTGAACAAGAATTCGAGGATCGTGATAATTATGACGACACAACGGACGAAGTAGACGAAAGTGACTTTGAGGAAAGCGAGGATGAACTTTTGAAAACCGGAGAAGCGGGCATGATGATGTCACATAAGAATCGAGATATTATACGAGACGAGGCTCATAGGCAATATAAAACGACCGTGATAGACGTTGAAAGTGCAACATCAACGTCAATTGTGGACACAACCCCGATGCCAACGTTTCCGTCAACGAACATTCAAGATTCGTTTGATGTTGCCGATATCACGGCAAATACTGATTTAATCGATTATACAAAGGAAGACGTCGGCAGCACTCAAACAACCGAAATCCCTACAACACTAGTTACGGACGAATCCAATGCAGATGAAACTACGACGTTTCCGACAAAGCAATTAATAAGCGATGATTTATTTAAGACTGCTATCAGAAGAAATCATACGCAATATATTATTAAAAACAATGAGAGCGATAATAAAACTGGCTTTACGAAACTTTTAGAATTGGAACGAGATGCCACGACGGAGCCAAAAATAATCTTTTCGACGCAAGGCAGTCACAGTATAACAACGAGTTACGGTAATAAAAGACCAGCGCATCCGGTAAGAGTCGTAGGAACTCCATTTGCATTCGAAGAGTTCGACGATGTTGTATCGAAAACAGAATATACTCCGGTTGGGAATTTTCATCGTTATAATTCGCCGGATGAAAAATACCAGAAGCTATCTATAATAAGCAATAGCGATCCGATTCTCTTTAAAAACGATGGAAACATCCCGTCGGACTTTAAGGACCAAATGGCAGAATCGTCAAAGCCGTCGTCCATGAATTTGAGACGAATGCCTAGTCAAAGCACCGAGGACTCTTTCGTGAGGTTTCCAGATCGAAACTCCGAAACCCCCTCGCAACGACACGACTACGTTCGATTTCCACCCGACGAGGTAAATAGTATTCATAATCAAGACAATTACAAGGATCACTTATTGTCGCCCTATCATTCGAGAGAGGAGTATAGTAATAGCTCGCCGGCAAGCACCAAAGGCAGCGTCCCTACCCGTCAGAAACCCTTGTCGACCCATTGGCGAATACCATCAGCCGGTATGCGAATGGATCGTCAACACCAGCAGTCACAGCAACAAATTCAAGGGAGTTCGAGCACTGCCAATCACCGACAGCAGAAACAAAAGCCAATGTTATTGAGATTCTGGGCGAGAATGCCACTCGTCCGAGATCTCACTTTCTATCCAACGACGAGTCATGGCTCGCACAATGAGCCCATCGGGGGTCCCGATGACTCCCATCGATCGAGTATTAGATATTCGCCGGCTACAACGCGGCCCGGCCGTAGAATTAATCACCACAAGGAAATGTCGTCGCACGATGTCAATAGGCTATTAGCTCAGCAACTGGGCCAATCGGCTCACGGCGATTAAAGCCGACCACGAGGTCGGAAATTCGCATTAATCTCCTCATACGAAAAAATGATGAGACATGTGATTTAATGCAGATCAGTGCCAAATAAGCATATACGAGGGCGTATAAAGCAAGCATTTGTCCGCTCTTTACGTGCTATGCGAAGAGCGGCCCAAGTGGCCAAGAATTCAGTGTGTATCTTGTAGATTATTGCTTACTTTCTCCGATTGATTATCAATGAAGATAATCCCAAGAGTTAAGTGCGAAGAAGCAAGGACGCTGATAGATCTGTGAAGTAAATCGTAATTGGGAAGTTATCGGTAGATTTGCAAGAAATTGAAGATTTTCTTTAATTTTCATAGGTAGCTATATTATGATGATTTCAAATATTCAAGGAAACTATTATCAATCAAATTGTATAAAAGAATTTTTCTAATGTTTCATTAATGAATTGCACGGAGTAAACATTTATAATACGCGTAAACATTTATAATAATTTTTCTCTCGGTGACATTTTGAAAAATTTTTCTTCTCTTCTCTTCTTTTCTTCCCTTTCCCTTCTTTTTAAGCAAATTGCTATCCTTGTCACTTTCTTACTAACGTTAGAAAACTACCTCTCGTTTACAATCATAATGCAGTATCTAAATATCGATCGATTTTAATTACGTAGCGTAGTAAAAAAAAAAAAGGGAGGAAAAAAAAAAAAAAAGTCCGTTGAATAGTCGAATGTTAACTTAAACTGCGTTTTTCATAAGAGTAAAATATGTAATTACAATAGAGTGCACAATGAATTTTCCAAGTCATCCGCCGATTATTTCGCAGTTCTATAAACGTTCCTTTTTCTCCTATTCGACAAAAATAAGAAAAAGTAAGATAAGCGAGTGAAGGAAAGGAGAGGCAAACGGGAGGTTAAAAAGAATCTCTCTCTCTCTCTTTCTCTCTCTCTCTCTCTCTCTCTCTCTCTGTGTTTCACTCTTTCTCTCTGTTTCTCCTATCCGTTACTTTTTTAGCTCGACCTTCAATGAAGTGGACCGGTTCTCTCTTCTTATCCATTCTTCTCTACTATTCTCTCTCGACAATACTTTTTTCAAGTTGCAGCGGAGTCACGTTGTGTCGCTTACATTGCGATTAGAGTTGAGAAGGCGATGATTTATTTATTCGCGAGGCGCACTCGCAGAGAAAGCGCGCGGCCGCGTATGTGAGGAAAGTATCTCGAAGTCGAAAGGTTGTCGGCCACTTTTGCGCCCGGTTGCGCAATATGAATCGTGTATGTGCGTAAATATCCGCGCTCTTAATCCCCCCCCCCCAATGTCACGCACACGCGTGATATATATTATATATATTAGATATATATATATATATATATATATATATATATATATATAAGAGAGAGAGAGAGAGAGAGAGAGAGAGAGTGAGAGAGTGAGAGAGTGAGAGAGTGAGAGAGAGTGACGGTAAAAGAGGGAGAGGGGAAGGGGATAAGCATAGGCAAAGGCAGAGACATATCCCGAGACAGCAAATTCTGCTCGGTAAGAGAGAATGCGGATGTTCCTCCGCGTAAAATTGACGCGTATGATGAAATAATTTTTACGCTTTTTAAAGTTTACGATTTATAATTATTTAGCGTACCTTTGTAAGCAAAGTTGTGTATGTGTAAATACGTCATTGTCGAATTAGGCGAATCTATTGAAATGTATGTATCGCGTTAGATTACATGAAATCTATTATAGGGACTTAATTTTTAGCAGATACTCGGCCGTGAATTTTTGTGGTACTTCACATTATAATATTGAACTTAAATTCTCTACAATTATTTTTGTAATTCTTTTTGCCGTAAATAAGTATCGAGCTTTGAAAAAGTTTCGAAAGTTTCAATTTCAATATTCGCTACATTTTTAATGCAATGAGTTTAGAATTATAAACGGCTTTCTGCTTTTAAAAAAATATATATACTTAAAAAGATGTATTGTGAAAAATTTTTTCGATCCCATTTGTATTAATTCTTACGGTGGTAAAAATTATAGTTGGAATACTTTTCTAAAAGAAGATAAGGCACGATATTTCTTTTATCGTCTATGAAAGAAAGTACTTTGTAATCGCATACGCACAATAAATTTGTTTTTCGACGGACAAATTACTAATAATCATCCATGTTCGAAATTTATATTGTAATAAATTAGTCAGAGAAAGTAATAAGTGACTTGTTTATCGATTATATGATGCGATATTTAAAAGTAATATATCTTCGTAATAGGATATTTTCAATTATTTCGCAAAATACTTTATTAAAACTTTTTTTTTTTTTTTTCAACAAAATTACAATTTTCTTTCAGAAAATATGGAATCTCAATAGTTTGTAAGATTATCCTCACTATTTATGAAAAAAAAAAAAAAAAAAAACCCGAAAAAATAAAAAAAAAATAAAACGTCAATAGCAAACTTTAAAACAAAAATCTTTATTATCGTTCATGATCAACGTACAAAATGTAAGCAAAATGATTTATACGAAAGACTGTAGAACACGACAGACCAATCGTATTTATCGAATAAACGAAACTTTTAAGTGAAAATCTTTCAAACGGATTAACGATTTGTGGATAAAGATTTTTTTTTTTTTTTCATAGAAATATCGTTCTTTGGAAACACGTGGATGAGTTTTGGCAATTTGGAAAAAACAAAAAATTTGATAAAATTCTGTCGTCATTGAGACATTCGATTGACATTTTTTATGACCACATTATTCAAAGATAAGAGAAAATAGTTTTTTGCAACGTGCATTTTGTAATATTAACGCCTGTTTCTATGGGACGTTTTTCACTCGACGTATTTTAGAATTCGTAAGCTAATGCGCAAACGAATGATCGTTCTTCCGAATTGTAATATATAATATAATATATCGTCAACGTTTATTATTAATAAATGAAAGTCATATCGCTGTTGTGTGGTAACATCGAAATATTGTTACTCTTTATAGAAATCGAATATTGTATGTGTGTGTCTCCTTACCCATTTTTTGCATTAAAAAAATTGTTGTCTATTAAACGTATAGAAATATAATGAAGTAAAGTATAAATAAACCGATTTGAGATTAGTCAAACGTATTATTATAATGTCGTGACTTTAAAGTGTGACGACGCACTTTTTTTACACTCGCATAATAATTACGATACTCAATAAAAAATAAATAAAAGGAACGAGAGAAATGAGAAATCCATTTTGTTATAAGCGTAACACAGAAGCATTTAAAACTGTTGTTAAGTAGAGGGATAGAAAAGCGAATATATTTAGTAAACGAAAAATTGATTTGCTGTGTTCGAGAGAGCGAAGCACCTACGACAACGACGATGCAGGCGCGAAAAATTTCACTGTCGCTTGGAATTTCCAGGAATAACAAGACCGAATCACGAAACTTGCATGTATAATATTAAATTTGCACATTTAATGATGCTGTGCTAATTATTGGCCATGCAACCGTCCCTAATAGCCATGAATTTCAATTCCTCAATTGTACTTATGATGAGCCTCGAATAAACAATTCGTACATTGTTTTAAGATGCGACAAGTTATTTTTTATTTTTCAGCGAGCAAAAATTTCAAATTGTATATAGTTTGTTTGATTTTGTTTGTAAAGCGTGTGAAAAATAATATGTAGAGCTTATTGTTGCTCAACGTCCACAAATTCATATATATTCTCCTACTTCCGTTTATCTACATTCTCAGTTTAATGGATAATTAATTAATCCAGAGTGTGTAATTAAGACGCTGCATGGTCCGTAATTGGGACATTCCGAGTTGAATGAAAAAAAAAAAAAAAAAAAAAAAAAAAAAAAAAAAAAAAAAAATGAGGAAGGCGAATCAGTATATGCACGCACACGCACACGCACAAGCGAGAGGTGAGATTATTTAATAATTGACATTGCGGCCAGTAGCGTGTACTCTGCATCTCTTTATATTCATTTTTTTTTTTTTTTTTTCTCGATGTGCTGTGTAATGTATCAACGTATGAATGTCAATTCGTGTACATATTAATTAATTTTATTGTAAACCATAGAAGAAGAAGAAAAAAAATATAAACGCAGATTGTATATATACAGTATAACGATGTAAGTGTTAACTCTATCATAAAGATGTATTAAATGTAACTGTATTAAACATTATTGTATTATTTATAGTAAAATATATATTGATGTATATTGCGTAATTGTGCGTTGTTTTTCTTAATGCAATTCATAATATAAATTTTATTTTAGATGTTAAATTTATAATTAAATAAATGTATTATTCACTTTTTGTGTATATATAATAATGTAGGCTAAAGTAAGCCATTTGCTAGACTTTCGTTTAAGATAAGAATTGTAGAGCATTCCCATCATATAATAAAAAAAAAAACAACAACAACTAATTATTATAATAACTATTATAATTTATAATAACATTATTAACAATCATAATTAACATTTTTATTTTGTCACGGAGAAAATTGTAAATGCATTTGGCTCTATGAATAGGAATAAAATTGGTTACTTCTACAGATGAAATATAAATTGATTTTGTTAAAAATATATGTTAAAAAATATATATTAAAATTGCTTCTACTTATAAACTGTACATTAAATTAAGTTGAAGAAAAATAAACAGATGAAAATTTAAAAGTACAATTTTTAAAATTCGTTTTTTTTTTTTTTTTAATATATATATATATTGTTATTTATTTTATAAGTAAAATCTACATACCATCTTTTGAACATTTTCATTGTTCTATCTATGGCTTACACCATTATCAATAACAGTAAACGTTATTACGAACAATAGTATTTTCATAATTTAATTATAAATTGTTATAAGAAAACTTATTTGAAATAAAATGTTTAATAAATAGGTGATTTACTTTCATGTATGACTGAAAATAACTTATTTTGTGATATAATTAAGTTCTGGCTATTATGACTATATTCATACATTTTATTATTATATAAATTTTTAATTGTAAATCGCTAAGTTATTAAGCAGTTTGAACCTTAGTTTTTATATATAAATTATGTACATAATTTAACAAATATACATTGTTTTTTTTTTTCTACTGTATTTTAAATATTTAAATATATCATTTTATTAGTTAATGCTTATAATTAATTTTATAAAAATTCATATTCTATTATCACATTATACTTAATAATTATTTATTTTTAAGATTATATAAAATATAAATAAAAATATATATGAAGTATATTCTGAGAATGATTGAATATTTTTCATCGGTACACTACATTTCATGAGGGGAGTCTTATTAAACTTGCAACATATTGTATTTAACTGTATATTCAATGAAACTAAAAACAAAATTCGAAATCAGTTAATGTTCCAAATAAAACATATTGATAATAATTGTAATGTTACAAAGAGTTGTTATTTTAGTAGTATAATTAACTGTAATCTTTGAATAAATAAAATTTTAATATTAATTACATTTACAATATTTCAGGATAATCAATTTAGTTATTTAACAAATAAAGTGGGCTTAGTCCTTTAAAACCACGTGCAAGTATGAACTTTTCCGATGATTCGGATCTAGATGCGACAGGTTTTACTATTTTAACATTTTTATAAAACTTTTCTATATCCTTTTCCAAACCAAGCGATTCAGTACCATCCCATACTTTTACAATTAACGTCGCGTTATATGTACTTGATAAAATTGCAAATTTGAATGCTGAATACGCAAGTTTAATAATGTTTTCATGATCCAATTCTTTTATACCAGTAGCGTTGGGAGCCATATCCGACATTACAACATCGGCAAATTTTGGCTTTAAACAATCTTTTACCATTGTAAAAGTTTCATTAGTTGTAAAATCTAAATTTCCCAAAGTGGTTGCACCTTCTATATCGTGGATAGGTAAAATATCGATTGCGATAACTTTTCCTCTTCGTTGATCAACAACTTTTTCATTCGAATTTGTTAGTTTAACAGCGACTTGAGTCCAACTTCCTGGAGCTGCACCACAATCTACTACACAAAAGCCAGGCTGTAGAATGTTGTACTTCTTATTTATTTCAAGAAGTTTAAATGCACTGCGGCATCGATAATTCTCTTGCCTTGCCATTTCCACATACGGATCTTTTAATTGACGAAGTATCCATTTTTGTGAACTAAGTTTTTTATTCTTTAAATTTGTAGGTTTTTCATATAATAAACTTGGAATCCTATGAAATCTTCTTACAATCATCGTTAGGTTCTAGGCACTTTGATTATCTGTAGCCATTATAAAGTAATTTTATTGATACGATTTCACAATATTTATAAAAAATTAAATATAAACGTTTATATTATTTGATAGTATATTTTTATTTAATCGCTTAATGCCATTTAAAATACAATAGATTTAATAATCGCATATGACTATAAAGTATTTTATTCAAACACAATATAAAACAATTAAGATATTTCACAATATTGTTTATACATAAATAATAAATAATATTATATATAACTAATAAAAATTATATCACGTAAATATGGAAATCTTTAACAAAAAAAAAAAAAAAAAAAAAAAAAAAAAAAAAAAATAAAAAAAAAATCATTTTACGTTAAATTATAAACGATATTAAAATGAATACTCCTTCTTTATAATTATATTAATTAATATAATTTACTTAAAAGTAGTATAAATTTTTATAGGTTAAGTGTTAAGATTAATCGTCACATCTTTTCTCTTCTAATTCAATTTAAAATGAATGATTCAATACCTGTTTAATTGTAAGGAAATATGTATTGCAATACTAATAAATAATATTACTACATAATTTACATTAAAATTTATTTAAATCGAACTTCATTCAATTCCAATGGTGTTCGTGCTACATGAAAATACTAAATATATCCGGTTGCGTCATGCTTATTGGTAACGATAAATGGCTAGTGAGTGAGACGAGGCATCCAACATTAGGAAATCAAAATTTCATAATTGCGTGCTATAATTCATGAAATATTATATAAAGTTGAATATAGTAAAGGAATTAGCTTTCAAGAATCTCACCTTTTGAATTCTTATTATTGATACAGAGTCACAATATCACCTTATATTTATTTATCATCAAACAATTCATCAAATATCATCTAATAAGGATATTTAATAATAGAAAAATTAATTGGTCAAAACGTACTTGGCTAATAGTTGTCATATTTTTAGCACAACTGAACGGAATCTAAATCATAATCTACTACGAAAATTACCCTTCACCAATAATAGCGCCTTGACATTTAAATGTCAAAGCTAAAGTCTCTAGCATCGGCTGGTGGTGTAGACGATTCGACGAGGTGCCTCTAGCAAATGGAACAAACTCGCAGTCAACAACACCACGCGCGTACACAAGCTCGCACACACGCACGCGCGCGCACATCACCACACCATAATGAAAAAGGAGGAAAAAGTAATATCAGTCAGTCAGAATAATGCAGCGGTATAACATAACAGGCACGCGAAACGTAAAACGACAAGTAGTGTCTAGCGGTCACTAGTCGCTGTGCATGAGCGCGGGCGCGCGCGTGTGTGTGCCTCAAGTCCAAGCGTCGTGGTCATAGATATCAGCTGACTGGGAAAAAATCGCTCTTACTGCTATTATTATTGCCATTGTTGCTGTTGTTACCGTTGCTGTTGCTGTTGCTGTTGCTGTTGCTGCTGGGGTTGCTGGGGTTGCTGGGGTTACTGCTGCCGCTACTAAGGTCGCGACTGAGTCTCTGCGCGGCCGCGAGCTAACGAAAAGGTCTTAGCACGCGAGTAATGGAACAACATACGCGATCTCTCAGGCAGCCTCTCCCCGCCGCGGCTTTATAAAAAAAATAAGCGTACCGGACCCCAAGCACAGATCAACGATATGCAACGGGGATTCGGCTGAGCGAGAGCTTAACAAAGGCTTTTTGTCATTCTTCCACGAGAAGCGTCATGAATCTTAGCGCGAGCAATCCTAACGGCAACGGCTTACTCTATGCCGGCTTTAATCAAGATCAAGGTACGTGACACTTTGCCCACTTAACGATTATTGGCCTGGCAATGTGTACTTGCAATGTCGTCGTCGTCGTCGTCGTCGTCGTCGTCGTCGTCGTCGTCGTCGTCGTAGCATATTCATCGCTAGATACTTTCCTCAGATTTGAAAATTTGCCGATAAGCTTCAATTAAACAGACGACTTAAAGGATCATTTATTTTTTACCTCAGCCATAAACCAGCCCCGCTTGTTATGTTTTTTTCATTTGCTCGTGGCAATAAATAATTTTTATGAAATCGGCTTGATTATTTATTGCCTCAGCGATCGATGAAATTTGTTTGTAAATTTTACTGGCCCTGTTTATTAATGAAAATTACATTGTATTTTATGAGCTAACCTAATCATCAATACAATATCTCATTTATTCACACATATTTCTTTGTACAACTTTTTTTCTATAATCCGAATTATTTCGAGGAATTTCGATCGTCGTTTTAACAAGTAAAAATCTTGAATTTTGTAAAAAATTTTGTCTTGAATAATGTCTGTTTGTTATTTATAAGTGCTGCTCGCATATTATATACTTTTTTTTTCATTATAAAATGATTGGTTAATTTAATGATTCGTTCAATTAGTTTCTTGGTTATCCAAATTAAAATCTGCTAAAAAATGTGACTTCAATTAGTACTGTCTTACCGCGACTCAATTTTTTAGAGATATACATATCTTTATTCTTTTTTGTTCCATAAAAAATTTTATAAGTTGGTAAAATTTATTAACAATTGATGAAATATCTACATTGATAAATATTGTTTAGATTTTATGAAGCTTATGGTAAAGTATTTTCATTGAATGTTAAATATAAGTTTTGTAATTTAAGTATACTTTATTTAAATATACTTATTAATGAAATAGAGCGACGAGCTAATTATATTAAAGAATAATGAACGATCTAGGATAGTAAGAGTATATATCCTGTTATTAAGTGTATCGCAGACCATTTCATTAAAAACAAAAAAAAGAAAAAAACAAAACAAAAAACACAAAAAAAGAATAACGCGAGAAATGAAGTAAATTTCTGTAAGTGGATAAAGGCCTATCTAGGTAGAAATATATTTATTGTGCTATTTAATTTGCGCAGGATGTTTTGCGTGTGGAATGGAAAATGGCTATAGAGTTTACAACTGTGACCCACTTAAGGAGAAGGAAAGACATGACTTTAGGGAAGGTGGCTTAGGCTACGTTGAGATGCTGTTTAGGTGTAATTACTTAGCATTCGTTGGTGGAGGAACGAATCCAATGTATCCAACAAACAGAGGTAATTAATAATTATTTTATTGAATTAAAAGTGTCGAAAGTAAAATGAAGAGGTGCGCAGTGCGACGGAGAGAGATTTGCAATTTGTAATTCAACAAACGTTCATAGAATGTCGAATTATGAGATAGAGTTGTTATTAAAATCTCTCATCAACTCGTAATCTTCAATAATATATTGCTTATGAAACATTTTAATAATAATATTCTTTTATGTAGTTATAATATGGGATGATTTAAAAAAATCACCAGCTATTACATTAGAGTTTAATGCGCCGGTAAAAGGTGTGAAATTAAGACGTGACCGAATAGTTATTATTTTAGAAGGTGTAATAAAAGTTTATACATTTACTCAAAATCCGCAACAGCTGCATGTCTTTGAGACAAATTCAAATCCAAGAGGTTTATGCGTCCTCTGTCCAAATAGTAATAATTCTTTGTTAGCTTTTCCTGGCAGAAAAAATGGACACGTCCAAGGTAAAGTAAAATTAATTTCCACAGCTCTTAAAACAATATATCCTTGACTTATCAATTTAAATACAATTTTTACAATTTCGCATATTCTATAGTAAATCATATTAACTTGTCGATAAATTCTTTAAATTAAATCATTTGTATTTCTTACAGTTATCGATCTGGCCAATACTGAGAAACAACCATTAAATATCGAAGCACACGAGACACCCTTATCTTGTATAGCTTTAAATTTACAAGGTACTCGATTGGCGACAGCTTCAGAAAAAGGTACATTGATAAGGGTATTTGACTCTCAAAGTGGAAATATGATTAATGAATTAAGACGCGGTGCAAATCACGCGAATATATATTGGTAAGAAAATAATTCAAACAATCGATACACTACCATTAAATAGATGAAATTTTTTACCAATAGGTAATTGGGATAATTTATTGATAAATCAATTATTTTAGCATTAATTTCAATCACGATTCTACGTGGTTGTGCGTTGCAAGTGATCATGGAACCGTTCACGTTTTTGCTGTGGAAGATCAAAAATTAAATCGACAATCGAGTTTAGCTTCGGCAACCTTCTTGCCAAAGTACTTTAGTTCGAACTGGAGTTTTTGCAAATTTCAAGTGCCAGGTGGACCGCAATGTATGTGCGCTTTCGGCACTGACAATAACAGTATAATAGGTAAAAAAAAAAAAAAAAAAAAAAAAAAAAAAAAAAATACAATATTTAAATAGATTTAAGAATATTTACAAATTGTGCATGAGCAAAAAATTTTTTTTTTATTTTAATGGTAATTTTTCTCCAAATTTCAATTATATCAATATATATTATTTTATAAAGGATAATAATGCTATTTTGAAATTGCCAGATTAATTATATAAATAATTAACCTTAAACATTAAAATTCAAGATTAAGATACATTTAGAAAAAAAGTCAGTCCCTTTACTTAACAAAAAATAATAATATATCAAATAAATTAAAATAAAATTTTTACTTTTACTTCAAAAATATTTTCAGAATATTAATACTTAAAAAGAGAATTTTTTAGCTTATTGTGACGATTTACATTGATACTATTATGCTATGGAAAATGCTTGATATGGAAAATTTTTTAATTTTCATCAATTAGTATCGGTATGTATTCGCTGTTATCCAAGTCTCTGATAATTTATTATTACTTACTGTTGTAAAATACAGGTTATCAGTGAGTCATAATTTTTAAAATTTCATTCGACTCTCATATACATTTACATTGCAATTGTCTCAAGGTAATGGAAATACCATGAATAATTAGTATTAAAATTAAAAGTAGTATCATCATGATAAATAATATATGAAATATGATAAATATTTGATATATACAAATGTTGTAAGAAAAGGCTTTGATCAGGAACAAAATTAATACACGAATGTATTGTTCAAAGTAATTTCGATGATGATTATATTGGAAATACCAAATTGCATTGTAAAGAAGACATTTTATCAAATTATTAATACAATGAAAAATTGAAAGAATATTTTTGATAAATTAATTTTATGCTTTTATTTTTAATTTGTTCACAGTTGTGTGCGCCGATGGTAGCTATTATAGGTTCGTATTTAACAATAAAGGCGAATGTACGAGAGACTTTTACGCGCAATTTCTGGAGATGACCGATGACAAGTTGTGACTCTCAGCACATTCGTTAAAATTAAAGTGGAGCCAAAGACTCCATTTCGTGTTAAAAAAAAAACTGTGATCGTTATGTTGCGTAGCTATGGGTCGCTTATTTTGCGCGCCATCATTTGTTATACTTATGCAGTGTATGCAGTTATGTTAAGAAAATTGTCTAGATGCAACTATCCTGAAGAAGAAGAATAAGGAAAAAGGAAAAAAAATATATTTATATAAGTTATATCGTTGCCAATCACTAAGAATGGTTTGACGAATGAAACGCGTTTAACAACTACAATAAAATATTTCGAGGATTGAAATTCACTATCGATGTAAGCGTTTTGTCAAATGATCGAGATGTTAAAGAAATTTATATCATGAGAGAGTAATTCTTGTAAATATAACGAGTAATGATACTTGTTTATCTAGATAATAGCGAGTTTATATCGAAGTTTTAAATAGGGCTTTGTCAATAAATGTATACGAATCTAAAGTTAACGTCAACTTGGGTCTTATTTAAAATATTTAACATTTATTGGTGATTATGAAAATAGTTTGATATTGTATATATAAATTATATTACATTTAAAACGGAAAATGTTAACGTGACTGATTTTTTAACTCTTGTTGGTTCAATAGTCATTAAAATTATCGTAATTATCGGAGAATAAAGTAACATATTAAACAATAATTTTAACGTAATTTTAAGTATTGCTTATATAAAATGTAAAATTTTAAATTCGATTGAATAACGTTATAAAAAAAAATGAAGTACTAAATATTAAAATTTGGATGGTCATTCTATGAACACCTGTAAGATGAAAAAACTCTAGTCTACGTATATTTGTTATGAATATAAATATTTGTTAATAAGAATATATTTCTTTCCTATATATGGGATAATATATGTTTATACAATTTTATAATATAAGAAAAGACTATTGACGTTAATTTTATTGCCAACATTTAAAAATAAAATTGTTAAAAAAAAAAAAAAAAAACCTGGGTTACCTGTATTACGTTAGAGTCGAAAATAAGTAAAATTATTGTATATTTTTTCGGAGAAAGTAATCCATTTGTAGCTATAGTTGTACTTAGTACTTGATAATTTATCATTACATAAACTAAATGTGTATATAATTTAATGGCTATTACATGTGTTATATTGAAATTAAATTAATTATCTTCATTTGTCGGTTAGATATTTAAATTAAATTTGTTCTATACTTTATGTATAGTATAACAGTGCATTAAATAAAAAGTCTTTCATTTCCCTTCATTTAACCGTTACTTTTCTTGTTTTAAGTAGATAATATATACGAAAGTTACTAAAGATTGTTGCATTATTATTGTAATGTTTTGCTACGATTGCGAATTTTTCATTCCTTTGTACTGCTTAAAATAATAATAAAAAATCTTAGAAATAAATACACTTTGTTATTGAAATATTAAATTATGGCAGCAAAAATAACTAAATAAAAATCAATGCGTTTAGGCTGAATTAGAAATTATTTAATATAAATATTGTTATTTGATTAATTGCCCAGAAAAATTATTTTTTTCATTATGTTAATGATATATCAATTTCTTAATTTTGCAAATTAAATTGGAATTCTGTATTGATTTGAATTATGAAATATTCAATAAATTTAAAAATTGTAATAACACTGTTTAATTGTATCCACACCAATCAAATTCTAAAAATAAGTGAGTGCTTCTATAATATATATGTATAAATATTAAAAAAAAAAAACAAAAAAAAAAAAGTATAGGAAAAACCAGTGACTGTAAAACAATATATATTTGTAAATTTTATTAAAAACTTCGCGCTTGTTAGTAAATTTATAAAATGCTTAGTGTTTATCAGACGATTTTTCAAGATTTTAGAATGACTTTGTTTGATATATTTAATAAGAATTATAACTAAAGTTTTCATTGTGAACAATATTAACTGTATAAAAATGATATTTTATCTGGAAATTTATTTATAAAATTATGAAATGAAAAAATAGATATAGTTATTTATATGAACTGATAATTTAAAACAAAAATAATATATTTCTTCAAAATTTTACATCCAAAAACAAATTTTTGTAGAGTTTATTAAAATAAAGATAATTGAAGGACTAAAATATACTTCATACACGATTTAATATAAAATACTTTCTTTGAAAATCTATGAACGTTCTTGAAAATATACAAGATAGATATTTAAAAAATATATTAACAGTATTATCAACATCTAATTTTCAAAATTATTGTATAAAGTTAATACATTTATTTGGAATTTAAATTAAATAAGGTAAATATTCTCAATTGGAAATTTGTAATTTAGTTTATTTATGTTATTATACAGTAAGTTATTAAAGAATTATCTGAATTTTATTTGAATTATACGCATATATTAAATGAGTTTTATTTTTATCAATTTTCTTTTGTCTTATCGGCAAATTATTGCTGATGCAGCAAAAAAATTATTCGTAATCAATGATCAAATTTTATTAATTCAATATGTACAGAATAAAAAATATTATTTTTAAATTGAAAATACTTCTCGAAGGAAATATTTTTTCTAAGATATCTATGATATTATTATATATGTATAATATTTTATATAATTTTCCTCTTCATTAAACGTTGCTTTAATATTTTAGTATTTCTTTTTATCATACCAGATATCATAATCATATAATATATCATAACAGAATTATTGCATTTTAATTATTAATTTTTATCTTCTCAGTGATATATTTGAAATACAAAAGAATAATGCTTTCTAAATATTCATTGAATATAAAATTAAAGGGATGTAAAAAATTATAATTTGTATAGAATAATGCATAAATAAATTTTCATTTGAACAGTTATAAAGAAGAGAAAATATGCATTTGAAAATTAATAAAATAGTTAATAAATGTTAGTTAAAACAGGCATTGAAATAAAAACTCAAATTTTTTTATGAGATACATATATATATATATATATATATATATACACTACACACTCAAATGCACGCGCATGCACACACCCACGCGTATAAACAAGAAGGAAAAGACTGCCACATAATACAGTTTCGTAGGACAATTGTTTAGGATACAGAGAAATTGATATACATAATTCCTTTAATGACGTATTAAGTTTTTTATATTTTTTGTATCACGTCGATGGTTAAGTATAATTATAGTTTGATAATATTTTTAAATACTTGTTTGTTTTATATAACCAGTAATATAATTTTTTCGGATGAATTTAATGTTTTGCAGTACATTTTACACAATCATGATTTCAAAAATATTTTGAGACTTGATTAATATTTAAGCTTTAAACAATACATAGAAATCTAACGATTAAAAAAAAAAAAAAGTTATTTATAAAATATTTTTATAGTGTTAAATGCATTTTTTATAGTTATTTTCACGTTGATGTGTATTCTTCATATGATGATAATAATTTGGCATTTTTAGTTATAATTCCGTTTTAAACAATTTTTTTCAAAATTGATATTATATTAATTAAATAATAACTTTTCTAAAATATTGCATAGAATCTACAATTAAAATAATTAAATAAAAATATTTTTCTATGATCGTAAGAACATGAAATATCTTATTTATTTATAAAAATCTAAAAAAAAAAAAAAAATTTGGGAAAACGTATAAATTGTTTTAATTACTATTCAATTATTATCGCAACATTTATTTAACCAAATGAATTAAAAATTTTACTTTTCCTTTGATATGTCGATGAAATTTTTATAAAACAATTTTATATTCCTATCGATTATAAAATTTTTTGTAATTTGTTTTTTTTTTTGTACGTAGAACAAATTCTATTTATAATTAATAATACAACTACCGTTGCATACACTTGACTTGACTACATAATGAATGTGCTATAGGAATGGAAATGTATTTTTCTTTATCAAGTAAATAAAATACAAAACAAATGTAGTTTTGAATAAAATGAATTATAAAATGTCTGAAAATATTTGCTTGAAAGCTAATAAACACTGATATTGAAATTATTATTTATTTTAATACTTTAATTAACGAAACTAAAGCGATTGTATATAAGCTTCATAAAGGCAATCAAAAATATAAACGTCATCATTAATGACGTATAATTCAGATAATTTTTAAAATGATTGTAATGAAATAGTTATTTTTAAATGGTAAATCAATATAATTATTTAATTCTTTGTATTTATGGTTTTTGTTTGAATGTTTACCATAAGAGTGTTTTGCACTCTAATTAAGTACAAGAATACCATTCGTGTAAAAATGGTTATACCATACTACGGCATTTATCACTATAAGGTTTATATATTTTTCTTATTCTTTTTTAAGAAAATAGATACGACATTTAATTATAATTTGTATCAGCGGATTATATTTCATTATTTTATTTTCAATTTGAAGAATTAATTTTTAAGTTTTAATGGCATATATTGTTTAATGAGTTTAAATAAGATTTCGTAACGTAATAATGTCGTGTTAACAATTATTTTACGTAATTTCATAAGTTCACAATTGCAATTAAAGTATATATTGTAATTAATTTTGAAAAGAATAATTATTGTAGGTGTTTTTGTTTTAAGAGTGCTCATATAAAGTTTCATAACGCATTTCTATATGAATGTCTTAAAAAAAAAAAAAACAGTACAATCAATTTTTGCAATTTATTTAAAATTTTTTTTTCCCCTAATCATACCGATATTGTAGCTAAAAATTCTAGAAATATCATGTAATATAAAATTATATAATAATCACAGCTCACAATATATATTTGAATAAATAAAAGAAGAAATTTCTTTTCAGGTTTTATATTTTTCAATTACATCTTTGTTTTTATTTACCATCATATCTCTTCGATCTATAATATCAATTATAAATTTAAAATATTTTGCCATACAAAACATGAAATAATATATTATAAAATAGCAGTCCCTGTTAACATTCATTAACGAAACGATTAACGGTGTTACATTTTTTTTTTTATAACAGTTTTAAATAAAGTGATTTTGTATTTTTTTTTTTTTTTTTTTTTTTTTTTTTTTCATATCGCTAACATTGTTATCAATGAAAACAATTTTTGATAAAATTTTGTCAAACTTTGATCGGACTTCATTAATAAGTACATAACTCAGTTTTAACAAAGTGAAACATTTTCAAATCTTAAAAAAAAAAGTAACTACTGACTTATAAAAGTGTAACAAATTCTATAGCTTAAGAAAAAATTTCATTAAATAACGATTATGTGCTTATTAATAGCGTGCGTTTATAATGTCGTTACATTAGTTACATTATAATATAATTTTATAATATCGTTTTTAAAACGCGATAGTTTTATCATAACATTAAAATGTCATTCAATGCATCTCACGAAATATGTAAATTAGAGTATTTATGCATTCGCAAATGTGCAACAAGTTTAAATGACAATACTCAATTAATGTCAATCGTCTTGCGTGATATTTTGAATTAATCGAATAAACATAAAATTTTTTTCAATTCATAAACATATAGCGGAATGAGAACTGGTCTTGTTAGCTTCGAGCTCGCAAAAACAAGTGAAAAAATACTTCGCTCGTCACGAGGGGAAAGGGAGGTAAGCCGAGGAACCGAAGAAGGAACAAGGCTAAGAGGCTTTCTGTCCGATAACAAAAGATCCAGCGTGACTTCCAACGATCCAATCGAAGATATGAGAAGTGGAAACGAATGGCATCCGTTGCTCTAAAATCGACTCTCTCACTATTCCCTCATTTTCATAGTTTTTATACTGCTTGGTCGAGTCCACCGTATAGGCATGCGGCGGTATCATCATTGTATAGCAAATCCTACCACGTGTTTGCGTTAGTCGAACGATCGTTCGATTCTCCTTCTCCAACGCTTTTAAATAATATTTTCGCGTAAAAGCCTTCTCCCGAGTATAATAAAATGGAATTAAGGCATAATTTTGCGATGTGTATTATCGAGCCAAAGACGTCAAAGATGCGTCTATCAAGGCAAACGAGTACGAGCGCATCGCCGCGTCATCGAAGATTCCACGGAAGGTGATGCAGCCAGCGAGAATAATTTTTCCCGTTACATCGCTCGGCCGATATTGGAGATAAATACGACTGAAAGTGCACGCGCACGGTTATCCAGCATTGGGCAATATTTTATTTTTAATCGTAGATGTCATATTACTGGAGCCAGGGCAAACGCGACGGGAGCCAATGCGTTTAGCATCGGAGCAAAAGCAGAAAACCAAGGTGAATAATATTCATGACACTAGACTTTCCTTACTTTTTCAAATTGTCAGAAAGCTAGATTATTGGAAAGCGTTCCTTACGTTCCCTTACTTTTTTTTTTTTTAAAACCTTTTTGTTTTTCTTCGGATTTCATAGGAGAGAATGAGCGACGTTGCGGCCATTACACGCGATACAAGGGGATACAAGGACTACGTACGAAAAATACAGGTTCGGTTTAATTTTGTCTTCTCGCGAAGCGATTTGAACAGACGTTATGCAGCAATTCGACACTCGATACTGGGGTACAAAAAATATAACAGCTTGTCCAATAACCTGTTCCCCGGGTGCGTTGTAAGCAGTCCTCGTTTGGTCCGTTATTTTTAGGGATAGAAGGGGCTGGGTCGGCTGGGCGAAACGAGAAGATCTTAGACGAGAACCCTCTGCTTTCTTGGCGCCATTGTCGTTTTGCCTAGGGTGGGCATCGAGGGCTTCTTTCACACGTCGTAGGGTTGGGGTAGGGCCACGTGCTGGCGTTGCGGTTTCTTGTTCTCCGTCGTTGGACGCATGTACTTCTTCTCGTTCACGGTGTGCACTTCGTGTATCACGCCCTTCTTTATTTCCAGATATCTGTACGTGCTGTAGACCACGAGCCACATGTACAAGCAGACGAGGGCGAGGGTAAGCACGAGGAGGCCTGAAAGCAGCGTTTCAAAGGTAGCAAGTCCAATGCCAAGGCCGGAATACTCCGTCGACGCGAAAATTGTACAAGAGTTTGAATTTTCGACGGGATAAGCAGATAATTTAATGGAATCGGCAATAGAAGAAAGTAGTTTATATACGCGAGAGAATGTAATTACAATTAGCATTGTACAAGAGTTTGAATTTTCGACGGGATTCGAAGAAAGTAGTTTATATACGCGAGAGAATGTAATTACAATTAGCCTCGGATATGTCGCGAATATCAGCCAATATCATCTTTAAAACATTGTTAATTAAATTTAAGGATATCTACTTACGGTCAATAACATTAGCTCTTCCACCAATAACAGCAATGAATGGGCAATCTTCTTGAACGAGGAACAGAGATATAATCAAGGCTACGATTATTGTCATCATTCCCATCATCCATGGTGTCATGAGGTAGCGATTGTTCTAGAGAACATATATTTAATTTAATACGTGCTCGAGCGTATTACTTAATTAATGATTGAAACAGTTGACAAATTTATTAACACTCGAAAGTCAAATTTATACGATTAGAATGTTATAAGAAACAATGTTATATAATAATTAATTATAAGTATATAAATAAACTGTAATCATGTCACACACGCGCAAAGAAACAGATAGCTGATACTTATTGGTAACATGTCCATAAGCTTAAGCATCTTTTATGATTACTATACATTTACATTAGAAATATGCCTTTTGCTCAATAATAATAATAAAATAAAATAATATTATAATGTACTAAAAGTATGAGGAATTGTACCATTAGAGCACCGTAAAGTAGCAAAAGCGTCGAAACAAAGTGGACAATTACAATCACTAGTCCGCAATATATCAAGTAAACTTTTTCTGTAACAAAAAGCGGCTTAAGACATTAATCTAACGAGTTTCAATATTATCACAATTAATTAGGCATTGTACGAACCAGTGACATTGTGATGCGCGAGCTCCATTCGATGGCTGTTAATGTGTTTCGAAGTAATTTCCTCGAGAGCCTCGCGCTCCAGCACATCTTCGGTATCTCGCGCGATCATATTCTGAATTCCCGCCTCGTGTCTTAAGCCCAAGACAAAGAAAATCATAACGTAGCCGGATAACACCTAAAATTACAATTTATCTCCAGAATTTCTTCAATCCTACAGCTTACAGTCCTTCATTAATGAATGGGATTCAGTCCCAGAATTGTTTTATTCTAAGTATTGCCTCTCCAATAATCCAACAGTGTTTTACAAATTTATTTATCATATATTATTCATAGTAGAGCAATTCATAAATATGCAGCGAAAAAAAAAAATTCTCTTTTCCAATATTATTAAAAATTTATTGAAATTAATCTACAAAAAAGTGAGAGAAAAAAAAACCTTAAAATTAAGAGGTAACGTAACAAATGCGATATAAGATAATTTATAAAAATGATGGGTTGAAATAGTTTATTGAAAGACAAACTGAATAGAACAGTTATTTATTCTTCTGAAACATTATCTTTCAGAGCATGAATAAACGTACCAGTTGCAATATAGCTATGAGAATTGTTCCCTGCCTGAGTTGAAAGTAGTAGAGGAAAGTTTTCAAAAGTCCCATCTTCATTGTGAATGTGAAATTCAATTAAAAAGTTTGCTAAATGACAAATCAAACTCTTGCGCACTGCTTGCTCGGTTGAAAACTTTTGTTGATTACTCCAACTGATTTTCCAAGATTGCCTATTCGAAAGAGGAATTTTTTATTACAATTTTCATGCATATTTTGCAAATCAATTTCATTATTATTATTACCTTTTATAATTATATTATACTGCAAATACTTATTTTACAAATTTCTTGTCACTATATGATTTTTCTTTTCAATTTAAAGACCTTGAAAAAATAATAGATAAATTCATTTTTAATTAAATAAACATTATAGTTACAAAATGTATATAAATTAATTTAATATCTTTATTTCTGATATATCCGTTTTAGTGATTATATTTATAAATTTTTATAAGAAAAAAAGACCGTCATTATGCATATAACAATTGGAGAAATTATTCATTACACAGGCGAATATTTTATTTACATAATTTAATTTTACATTTATATCGCAAAATTTGTTGTTTTTTTTTTTTTTTGTTTAATATTAATGATACTAATGGTATAACGTGTATAAATACAGACTTGAGCATTAGAAATATGTTTTTGGATTATCTGCAATAGTTCGAATTAATTTATTTCACTCGTTTGAATTCAACTGCCAATGAATTATGAGTGTTTATTATGAGTATATTAAAGCTGATTCAGTATATAAATTTAATAATATACATATATACGTTTCCATAAAGACTAATTTTCATCTATAATATATAAATTATAATAAATATATTCATTTAATGTGACAATCTTTAATTGTTCTAAATTTGATAAACAAGCATAGAAAAATTTAGATATTCATATTCGATCGTCATATTAAAATAATAAATTGGAAATTGAAAGTTTGAACATAGAAATTGAACATTTTAACGTTGTGTATTAATAGTTTTAAATAATTAAGTTTTAATTAAATAATTTTCATATTTATGTTTGGAATTTAAACTCTATTTTTCGACGATTTGCTCGTTGTTTTTTCTGTGCTTTATTTCGAACGTTTCAAATTTATTATAACAATTTATATATTCAACTTCATTTATTTTTAATTTTATACTATATTTTATCAATAAATTACTAATTCTTTTTTTGTTTTGTTTTTTATAACTGTTTAAGTTATTGGTTAATCCTGCATTATGTACACAATATATCGATTTAAATTATTGTTAGATATCCTTATCAAATTTTCTCCTTTAATATATAGAATTATGAGTTTTTCTTTGTTTTCTTCATATACAATAACTTATTTTTGGAATTATTAAAATTTAATTCCATTTGCGTTTGCTTTTATTTCGTTGTAATATTTTTAACAAACTCTTTCCTCAATCAATAGTCAGAGATGCAACATTTTAATGTTTTAATTATTTGAAAAAAATATTCTAAAATATTTTGATATGATACGAGGAAATAAATGAAATCTTCAAATTTATATAATTTGATTTTTTCTCTTTGCATACGTTATACAATTTAATAGCAGATAATGTAAATAAATTTCTAAAGCCAGCTTTATCAAAAGAAAAATCAAAGATTTTTTAATAAGTTACAAGTTGTTTTTACTATAAAACTACAAAACTTTCAATAATGAATATATATATATATATATATGATTATTTATGTTGGACTAAATTATCTAGTTGTAATTTTAGAAATACTAAGAATATTTAAATATTAATTTTTTTACCAACGAATCAATTTGGTAGACAACTCTTCTCATATATTTGGAATGTGTTTCAAAATAAGTTTATAAATATTTTAATTAGATTCTTTTATATTAAATTTCAAAGTTATTTTTGAAAAAATACATTACCATAGCGAATAATACCAACATATTTTCAATATTTATTATATAATATAATCTTATTGCCTTTAATCGATTGTTTTGTTGAATAGAAATTTGATTTGTCTATTCCTGGTTTAACAACCTAGAAATGGAAATAATTTTGGAATTTAATAATTAAATAATTATTCATAAATAATGTAAATTATTATTTAAATTTTCTACTAGATGTTAAAACATAATAAACAAATGTTGAAATTATTTAGTTGATAAATATTCAAATTATTATATAAGATTTTAATTAATCTGTTATTTATGAAACTATAACTTGTACTATATTTTAAAAGGGCAAGGAAGAGAGAAAGAGAAAGAGAAAATTCAGTTTTCACCAAATGCATTGAATAATTTCTTTAAATAACATAGGATTTTAAATTAAAATTAAAATTATAAATATCATTATTATAAATATTATAAATATTATAATTAAATAATTAAAATGTATAATATTAAAACCTTTGTTTCAACGTTTTTTCTTCGTTTTTTATATGTATTAAAATCTGTTTTTATTTTTATAAATTTATCAAAAAGTAAAATTCGACTTATTTGGATATAATAAAATAGTAAATAAAGAATAATAACTAAAATAATTAATAAAAAAGATTTTATGCTTCTATCAATGTAATAAAAGATTATGTAAAAGTTAGTATTTTATAAAATTTTTATTAAATTTAAAATGTTTGTTTTTTTTTCTTCTTAATTACGATAATGTATTTTTGTGAGCAAAAATACATCATAAATCACGTAAATTTCCATTGGTTTGGAATTTGATGCATAAATATAAAATTTATACATTTATGTCGTTTGCATAAACTTTTACGAATGAAATTTCAAAATATTGCTATTAGTTTCGATGAAATAGAAAATCAATTATAACGTTTATTTTATAAAATTTATTGACAATAAAGCATTAATTATAATAATTCTTTAAGTAATAGTCATTATTTTTAAATTCGAAAACTTTATTTATGTAAAGTAGAACTTGATTTCATTAAAGTAACAGATTAAAATACAGATTCTTTTCATTCCATATAACTTGTTTCATATATTTCTTATTACAGTTTAAGTTCTAGAAAGTTTAGTTAAACGAATTACGATTCAATCATATTTTTATTGTTATTGTTAAAAATTTTTAATTGAAATTTTTTTTTTTTTTTTTTTTAACAAAATATATGATGGAACTTTATAAATATAGATAATATAATGATTATGATTACAATATTTTATTATATTTTTAAATATTACAACTATTTTCATTTAATGTAATATAAATATTTTAAATATAGGAGCGTAAATATTGAACGAAAGTTCTTTAAAGAATATTTCACGTTTAAAAATCAATACGTAAAATCATATAGTAGTATGCTACATCTTCAAGTTTACCTTGAACGCTCGAAAGGAATATAAAAAGTTGAGGAAATAATATAATTAATAATGAATATATGCATATAATATACATAAAAGCAATTGGCTAAAATTTCAATTTATTGAATTGAATTATGAGCTTGAAAATTTTGTCCTGTGCTACATTCTAACCTCTTAATATTAAACAAAATTGTAAATAATTAAAAAAAAAATATATTTATTATATTTCATATTTTAATTATATTTTTTTAAAAAATAAATAAATTTATTAGTATCGATGCAAGGAATTATTTAAATACTTAAAAAATTTACTGTTCGATTCTCTAATTAATTGAAAATGTTTCTTTTCTTTAATATTACGATTAGTGACAATTTAGTTTTTCATTATGACAATTATTTTTCATTATGAGCAAGAGAGCTTGAATACTTTATACAATATTAAATTATATTTATGTAAATTATATTAAATGAATATATTACAAATAAATTATTGGAAAAATGTTATTAACATTATACTAAAAAAAAAAAAAAAAATAGAATATTTATATTTTATTTACTATTATAAAAAACAGTATCTATAAGTTATTTAAAAAAATTGAAAAGAAAAATATACAAAAAATAACCAAAATAAACATTTGATGGTTGAGAGTTGATATTTTTTACCTAGAAATTGGGGAATTTTTTTGAATTCATAATTAGTGTATGATTATTTATTAATTAAAATGTATTTTATAAAATCATTTATATTATAATTATCTATATTTCAAATATTGGTTAGAAAACCTTATTAAATAATTCATAATAATATTAATAATAATAATAATAATAATAATAATAATGATATAAGACTAGAGTTTTAGACTTCAACACTTCTAGAATTCTATAATTTTGCAAAAGTCTTTGAAGACTTAATCGAATTTAATCCATATTGGCTATTATATGCGGCACTGATTGCAATAAATTGTAACTCATTTTCAAATTATAATTTAGAAAAGTTTTGTTGCAATGCAAAGAAATGTTCAAAACACATAGTACGCTCATCATATTAATAATGCCAATTCTTTTTATAATCTATCTGTCATCGCTTTCTATAAGTCTTTCGTTTATCAATAATAGGTCATAGTCGTTGGGTAGTCCCAAGTTCCAGTTCCGTACATTGTTGACTGCTCTCGATTGCACCACGGACTCGTTGAATCATCAATGAATTAAGGATCGAATAGCGCGCCAACCAAACAAAATCACAGACTCTGTGTCCAAAACCTAATAATGTAAACATAGCTGAAGAGCGAGCAGCTTTCATAAACGGAGCCTGAGATCCTCATCTCGTCAGAGATAAACAAACGCAAGGCAGAATCCGCGTGCCTTAACCCCTCCCGTTCCTGCCCTCCGCCCCCGCCTACCTCGCATCATCGGGTACAAAGTCAGCCGCACAAACCTGCGTATCGACTCTGGCGGAGGCTCTCCTCGGCGTCCTCGTCCTCTTCTACGGTGTCCGAGTCACTTACTCGAATCAATAACTACGACCGCGTGCGCTGCGTAACTCCCGCAAGGTATACCTGCGACCCCTTCGGCGGCCCGTCGATCACAGCTCGAGCCCAGTAGAAAAAGTAGAGTAGTGCGCGCCACCGGAAATGGGGACTGAGGGGCGCGACTTCGCTATCTCCTCGGCCGCTGTTGCTGTTACTGCTACTTCTAGCACAGCCGCTACGGCTTCAACTACTGCTGACGTTATTATTACCTGTGGATAATAACTGGGAGGGAGAACGAGACTGAGGACCGATCCCTG